ACCTCACCTGTTGCGCAGTGGCGCTTTTGAGAAATGTGATCAAGTTGTCGACCCGCTCGAGTTTCTTGTTAGGGCGCATTTTATGAGCGCACGACATGCGAGGCATAATTGCCTGAAAGAAGATTGGATTAAAGATACTAAGTAGCCAGACTCCAAATCCCAGAAATGGGTAGGCGTGGCTGCGGAATTCATTTAAACAGGGCGGCATCTGTACTTCGGAATCGATATTGCCGTCTGAGGGAAATTGTAATCCTGCCGTTGTCTAGCTGAAGACAGGATTGCAATGGACTCAAATGGAAAGGTACTACAAAAGACGAATAACACGCAGTATTCGCCTATATCCCGGAGGTGGGGAGGGCATGTCTGAGTACAAAGTGCTAAGTGCCTGCCCCATCTCCGGGATGTAGAATGCATGTACGTCATAAAGTACCACAAAGGTAAAAGCAAAACGCGAAGCTCCAGAAGCAGAACGATGAGGATTAGAAGCTGGTCAAAGCAAAAGGTCGATGAGTGATAAAAAAAGCAATTTACGCGTGGAGAAATGTTCATGACACAGTAGGGGCTCATGAGAAGCTTAGACGCTGTTTGGCTTGGAGGGTGCATTTTACATTTTCGATCCGTGCGACCCCACCTCTTTGGGGGAGTTTGATACGATCCTCTAGTCCCGTTCCCTTCTCTGGTCGAGCTTTCCAGTGGGCAATGCATACAACACATGTAAAAAACGAAAAACCGCGAAAACGCCGCAACCGGAAAAAATTCTTATCAACAGCGCAAAGGCAAATTCACCCCATCGTATTCTAATACACCCCCTCAATGTTGGGGAATTCCCAATGATGAGGTACCCTGTTCACAGTTCTTCAGAAGCTGTTCTTGCGAGTTTAGATGAGTACCATTCGGGGCCCCCACCAAGCCAATCAGCGCCAAATTTATGCCGACAACCCTCGGAAAATGAAAAGGAACCCTTGCACGACGATGGAGGCACCGAGCTAAACCTCGACACATTCGGCGATCCTCACTCTAGACCTGGTCGTATCTGTAAACTCCAAATGTGAAAGCGAAGACAAAGCACTAAAGTGAAATCTTCGGGAAAGCTGGAAGTGAAAGAGTTGGATGGAACACCTGGGAGAAGTATAACTAGATGAGCTGGTGAGATTCACGATGCATTGTTGCCAGCAGCGTCACGTGCGCGACATTCACACCATGGATCTATACGAATGAACATGGAAACGTCCAGGCAACTGAAGGCTACTTTACATCTAGCATTTTACATCTAGTACTTTACATTATATTATACGGCTCATCAAGATTTTTCAATGCGGCACATTTGGCTAAAGCTGATAGTTTAGCGGCATCGCAAGGACGTGCTACCAGAAGGCTTTGTCGCGCGCGACAAAGAGGAAAGTTCATGCGAAGTGGAGCGGTACCAAGTGATATGCATAGGAAATATGTGTATAAATAAATTTACATATTATTACTTGAAAATTCTAGAATGACCAGGTCTGGTACTGACGCAACCAGGATAAAGATTTTGCTACCTAAAATTCGTTGTAGGGTTAAGCAGGTGGTGCGCTGGCAAGGAGCGTCACCAAATATGCACGCTACACTTTTGAATCGAATTATCACAGACTTCCCATTTCTACAGTAAACAGCAGAAACTTTCTGAAAGGTTTGAAACATTTCGTCGACCTATATAATTCACCATATGGGCCTAATTGCTTTCAAATATAGCTACGATCTTTAAAGGGAGAGGCATGCATGGCGCATTCCCGAGCCGCAGATTACG